GTGTGTGTGTGTGTGAGAGAGAGAGAGAGTGTGTGTGTGAGTGAGTGAGTGAGTGTGTCGTGATCAGCGCAGGTACATAAGAGCAGGTGTGTGTTTGTGATTATAAGTTTCACATTATGACATTTACAGCGCAGAAGTTTGACTCATAAATTAAGACATGATTCTATTCTGACTGTAAGCTTTTTTCAGATCTTATGAATTTTTTACTCTTCTCTTGTATTTCATTTTAATGACATGCAACTCTTGAAACAATTAGGCGACTCGTGTGTCAGAAACTCTTCAAAGCAGTTTAACACACAGCCCGTCATTAGAGTCTGAGCTCACTGTTGAATATCATGCACTTCTCTACATGATGAAACTGTACCGCTGGCTGTCTCTGAACTGTTCTGAGAACGTTTTGCTAATTAACTAATTAACTTAATTGTTATGAAAATGTTATGGGAACGTTCTGAAACAAGAACAAAACTGTTATAGAAAAAACATTCCATAAACAACAAATAAATAATGTTTTAGTGCTAACGTTCTGAGAACATTGTTAAAGTCCAGATAACGTTGAACAAACATTCTATTAATGTTGCTGGAAGAACGTTTGTTCATAACTTTGAGAGAACCTCGTCCTTCCCTGTTAGCTGGGTAAATATTGAAAAGCATAAATACAGAAAGCATATCAATGATGCACTAAAAATGATGTTTCAAAGATACTATTTCAGTCTTTCTACTTCAAAACTCCATGTTAAAGTTGCCGTTTCTCTGTATTTAATTGTGAAATTTTAGTAATTTCTGAGTGAACATTGTTTCTACACTACAATTTCTTCTTCCAGTGTACTATAACATGTCATAATAAATAGTAATAATAAGTTGTAAATACAAGAATTATTGTATTGGTGGCACGTTAAACAAGAAAATAGTACTATTTTTACTACAATCTTTAATTCAGTGTTTTACTTGCCGTTTATTTGCAATTATTTTTAGAATTTTATATCATTATTTGTGAAAAGTACTAGCAATTTTTGAGTGTTTCAATGCCATTTTTTTCAATGCACGGTCAAAAAAACGAAGCGACAGAGGAGGAGGAGGATGAATCTTCATCAGCAGCGTTTACTGTAGTATCAGGAGCCTTCAGACTGAGAGCTGTTTACTGTAATTGTGCTTCAAAGGCTCGATATTAAGGAACGCTGTGATGGCCTGCCAGAGTGTTCAATTACTGCCGGAGAACTCATCTTTAATTCATGCGCGCCTGCTTGCTGTAGATCGCGATGATGAGGGCGATTTGTTTTGCTGAAGCGGCTCAGGTGTGGCTTTATTTGGTTATTTGTCATTTAGCTGATGATTTCTCATCCAGGCTCCAGATCAGCCTGAGATTCTCAGACGCTCCTCTCTCTCGCGCTCTCATCTTGAGTGGGCGTCCGCAGGGAACCTGAGCGCATTTGACAAGACCGAAATATACGTGTTGAGATGAGTGAGGAAAACAGCAAACACTCCACACGTCTGCAGGAGCTCAAACACTGCAGGATCAACACGAAATCATGAGGAGAAACACACACGGCCAGTAAAGAACTCGCTTTCATCCGACGCCTTAAAGAGACAGTTCACCTTCAGCTGCTCATTGACTTCTGTCTCTTTAAACAGCAGTCGGGAAAACTGAACTCAACCTTTAGACTCATTTAAGTTAGCATGTGTTTTTGTCCAGAATCATATTTGTTCCATCAGGCATTTGTGGCTCATACAGTGAGAATATGGAGCTCAATTTATTCAGAGACTTTAAATATGAGTTTGCAGCAGATGCTGATATTTATATGATGAATTCTGATCTAAATCAGTGAGATCTTTATAACAGTAGAGCAGATACTGACATAAAGTGCTATAAATATCAGTCGTGGCTCTATATCTCCAGTAATAAAATGAGATGTAAATGCTCCAAACATATAATGCAGTGATTGAGAGCTGAAGAAATAAAGGCTCCTCAGAAGATGTGAGATGTTCTGGAGGCTTGTGAAGATCATTCCTCCGCTGAGGAACAGTGAAAGTAAAGCTTCTGGAAACAAACGCTCCTCAAAAGATCCTGAGGATCAGATTTGAGACTCTAAAACATGATTGATGGAGAATCAAGTAAAGCTGAGCTGCTTCAGTCCAGTAAGAGTTCATCTGGAGATATTACTGCAGTTATTCTGACCTTTACTTGATCAAAATCAGTCAAGATTTGACACGAGAAGCTCCAGCTGAAGCTGGACGTTTGTACAATTACACTAAAAGAGCTTTTACTGGATAAAACACTCTAAACTCTCAATCAGACGTGGAGGAGATCGAGTGTGAAACAGGTTTAACAGCAAAGTCTGATCATTTAGACATCGCTGACACAGTGGGATTTATAGGGTTAAACATGTTTTCTGCTTGTAGTTTAGAGGGTGAATTTCACAAATCCATATCCAGCTCATGTTTCACTCCACAAATCAATAAAAAATGAATAAATTCTTGAGCTCTGAGGGTGAAACACGAGCTGGATGTGATTCTGTGCGTGTATGAAGGTCTAGAAGCGGCGGTCAGTCGGGGTCAGAGGTCACTGAGGTCACCGACCCAAACATTTACAGATCCGCCCGAGACGCTGGAAACTAACAGGGCTTCGTCTAAAGCAGCGCTGCTTTAATCAGAGGAAGACCGTGGCTTTGTGAGAGATACGATGAATAAATGCATGAGCAAAACTAGACTCCGTGTCTGCTATTAGGCCAGAAAGGATAATTAACTGGTCCTCCTGAAACACAGCATCATGAAAAACACATCTGAAACACAGCTTAGCTTCAAAGACGCCGGAAGCCTGTCGCTCACATGGTTAGCGTGTTCTGCGTCTGTCAGTCGAGAGCACTGATGAAGCGACTGCAACAGCTGTAAGTGTTTCAGCATCTGCTGCGCTGACAGCACTGCACATGTAAACACACGCGGATTCACCAGCAGCTGCTGGATCTACAGGCCCAGAGTTTTGCTTTAGCGTTCAGAACAGCATTTCATCCCTCCGTAAGGAGCAGAAACAGCTTGGTGCCGTTCAATATTCAATGGCAGACTGCCACGCGACAGACACTGAAACCAAACTCTCACGCCCGCCGAGAGAACGAGCTCAGATGAAATCCGAGCCTGCTTCGCTAACACTTATTTTCACAAGGCACACTTTCGTCCGTCTCCAAATGAGATGCTTAATTCAGTTGTGCTCCGCTCGTCTCATTTTAAACAGATTCCCCATAAATGTAACGTCTGGAGGCGGCACAAACGGTTTTAGTTTGAGAAATGATTTGACTCTGAGAATTCGTCTGCACGCCTCCAGCTGAAGCCTCATTTGCACAGTAAGATCACTGAAGACGACAGATGAGTTCTGTTCGGATGGGTCTGGAGTCACTAATCCGCAGGATAAACAGCGGGAAAAATCCTTGTTCGGATCATCTGCGCCGCAGCTGAGAAGACTGATTAGCGGCGGAGAGAATCGAGCGGCCTAGAAACACAGAAGCAAGATGAAGAGGTCGAGGCAGATGGAGAACTAGAAGCTGCGCACGTTTCACGCGAGCGCATTCAGAAGGTCAATCTGTTTTTCGTTTCTTAGTGCATCTAAAGAAACACATTTGACGAGACTTGTTTGTCCTTGATGTGAGAAAGCAGCGTTTCCTTCAGAGGAACATTTGATTAGATTTGAGATGAATGTTGGGAGAGAAACACCTACAGAAGCTGAATTTGGCACCTTTGGAATCTTGGAATAAAAAGCTTAATTATCAGCTTGGAAAGGTGTTTTTTTTTTCTGTCTAAAACTCTTTTACACTTGCGGCAGTACAATAGAAGATTCATTTTTGGCTTTAGGAATCTCTCAGTGATCAGTTCTTAAAAGAACCATGCATAGTTCCCCAAAAATATGCCAAAAATGTGCTCGCCCTGAGGTCATCCCAGATGAGTTTGTTTCTTCATCAGGTTTGTAGAAATGTAATACTGCATCAGTGTCTCAGCAATGGATGCTCTGCAGTGAATGGGTGCCGTCAGAATGAGAGTCCAAACAGCTGATAAAAACATCACAATAATCCACAAGTAATCCACAGCACTCCAGTCCATCAGTTAACATCTGGAGAAGACAAAAGCTGAAACTAATCCAGCATTAAGACGTTTTTAACTCAAATACGAGTCCATAATCCATAATAACGCTTCCTCCAGTGAAAAAGTGTTCTGGTCTGAATCAGGAGAGAAATCTGCACAGATCAAGCAGCGTTTAAACAGCTCTAAACACATATGTGGCTGGATTTTGATGTGAGAAACAACAGCAGATGCACTTTTTCACTGGAGGAAACGTTATTATGGATTATGAACTCATATTTTAGACATTAAAAGCGTCTTAATGCTGGATTAGTTTCAGCTTTTGTCTTCTCCAGATGTTAACTGATGGACTGGAGTGCTGTGGATTACTTGTGGATTATTGTGATGTTTTTATCAGCTGTTTGGACTCTCATTCTGACGGCACCCATTCACTGCAGAGCATCCATTGCTGAGACACTGATGCAGTGCTACATTTCTCCAAACCTGATGAAGAAACAAACTCATCTACATCTCGGGTGACGATGTTTCCAGCTAATGTTGATTATTTTTAAGAGTGCGTTTCATTTAAAGTGCAGAGGAACACAAACTGTCGAGGGAATAAAGTCACAGACAGAATTCCTCATAAACTGCGGTCGTGTTTGTTCTCTGAATAAATCAGTGTGTGTTTGTCTGTGAATCCACATGAAGGAGGAGCGAGAGCCGCTGCATTCATCAGCTCCTCGTTGACTCTGTATGGAGCAGAAAAACAAAGTGCCAATCAACAGCGAGTGGACTTTGTTCAGCGTTTGCTGCCAGTCTTCAGGACGAGCGCTTTGATGTGCGACTGAACATCAGATGGGCTTCCAGCAGCACGGGAGAAATACTGCCGCAGTGCTGCATAAATACAGCCCGTTTACAAAAGAGTCCAGCATGAAAGAGTCACGACACGGGGGGGAATACACGAGTTCATGTGGGCTGAGTAATGACAAACCATTAATGGTAACGTTACTGAACCCCTGCAGAGTCAAAGGGCACATGAGCAACATCTCTAATCACTGAATGACGAATATAAATGTGTTACTGAACAAACATGATGCATCACACATCTGAACGGCCACAACATCCAGGCAAGATTCTCTCAAAGTAACCGTTCTTCCGGTAACGTTAATAACAGTTATCTGGTCTTTAGTAATGTTCTCAAAACATTACTTACACATTCATGGAATGCTTCACTTCTGAAACATTTTAGTTGGACGTTCATCTAATGTTTTTTTTTAAATGTTCTCTGAACGTTCTGAAACCAGTAACATTCAAATGTAACATTCCAATAATGTTTGCCAAACAATGGAATGTTCCCGTAACATCTGCATAACCAGAGAAAGTTAACTGGACGTTTTGAACATTCAGAAATAACATTTGCATAACCTAATGGAAACGTTCGGGAAACATTAAGAGAACATATTTTGTTAGCTGGGAAGCTGCCAGATTATGTGTGTATATATATACACACACACACACACACACACACACAATAACATATAATATATAAAATAAAAAAAATACAAATAGAATTTTTTTTCAGGCAAATCCAAAGCGGTAGACAACAGACGAGTCTGATTTGAAAAGGTGGTAGTTTTTGTGCTCTTCAAGCCTCTGGAAAGCAGATGAAGCAGAAAGATGACGTGTTGAGAAGATAGAAGATGATTTTCAGATGTTGCTGCAACTCTTGATTGCACACAAACATATAAATATATTATGAATAAATATCATACATCACGAGGAAACATCTGTTACCTTCAGAACACGGCGACTCCTAAAGTCTTGATTCAACAATAGAGAAAAAAAATCTAATATCATGGGCAAATACTGGTTTATCAAGCCAAAGAGCTGATCAAACACAGTGGGAGGAACTGAATCTAATGCAATCAGAGGACAGAATTCCTAGGCCAAAAGATTCTAAACCAAATGCAGCAGAGGAGAAAAAGACTCCACTGATTTCTGATGTGTTTGATAACTACACTGATCTCTAACTGTTTTGCTGAAGTAACGAAGGCGATATTAGCAGGTCACGACGCTGCTGCAAGCAGCCTGCGGATCCCAGAGCCCTTATTATTCCCAGCCGTTCCTCTCAGAGAAACTCTAATCCAGCCCAAATCCCACCGCAGTCTCCGGCTGATCCCGATCTCTCTGATGACATGAAGAGAAACGCCGGAGTCGATCGTGAGATCAGCACGCAGAAACAGAGCGTCCCGTCTGAGATTCCCTCGAGATCTGCACCTCCACCCTCATTTAAAACCAGCAGGCAGAAGCGGCGGATCAAATATTGAAGACCTGCTCTAAAGAAACCTCCTGCACTCCTCCTGCGTGTCCGTATTAAAGCGTTTGAAGCTGATCATGGCTGCTGTCGCTCAGAAGAAAGATCATGTATGAGAGGCTTTACTGGAGATGCCATCATCTCACACAACAGATCGATTCAAAACAAAACAGCACAAATAATCACACAGCACATCATCAACACAGAAGCACGGGCAGGTCGTCAGAACCGGAAGTTCTCGTCAGTCATGTCGATGGCCCAGGCCGACTTGTCCCTCTGGGTTTTGTTGTAGATCTTTTCAACAGATGCCATCCACACAACAGATCGATTCAAAACAAAACAGCACAAATAATCACACAGCACATCATCAACACAGAAGCACGGGCAGGTCGTCAGAACCGGAAGTTCTCGTCAGTCATGTCGATGGCCCAGGCCGACTTGTCCCTCTGGGTTTTGTTGTAGATCTTTTCAAGGGGCACCTGATGCACATGGACCCGATCAATCAATCAATCAATCAATCAATATTCCAATAATGTTTGCCAAACAATGGAATGTTCCCGTAACATCTGCATAACCAGAGAAAGTTAACTGGACGTTTTGAACATTCAGAAATAACATTTGCATAACCTAATGGAAACGTTCGGGAAACATTAAGAGAACATATTTTGTTAGCTGGGAAGCTGCCAGATTATGTGTGTATATATATACACACACACACACACACACACACACAATAACATATAATATATAAAATAAAAAAAATACAAATAGAATTTTTTTTCAGGCAAATCCAAAGCGGTAGACAACAGACGAGTCTGATTTGAAAAGGTGGTAGTTTTTGTGCTCTTCAAGCCTCTGGAAAGCAGATGAAGCAGAAAGATGACGTGTTGAGAAGATAGAAGATGATTTTCAGATGTTGCTGCAACTCTTGATTGCACACAAACATATAAATATATTATGAATAAATATCATACATCACGAGGAAACATCTGTTACCTTCAGAACACGGCGACTCCTAAAGTCTTGATTCAACAATAGAGAAAAAAAATCTAATATCATGGGCAAATACTGGTTTATCAAGCCAAAGAGCTGATCAAACACAGTGGGAGGAACTGAATCTAATGCAATCAGAGGACAGAATTCCTAGGCCAAAAGATTCTAAACCAAATGCAGCAGAGGAGAAAAAGACTCCACTGATTTCTGATGTGTTTGATAACTACACTGATCTCTAACTGTTTTGCTGAAGTAACGAAGGCGATATTAGCAGGTCACGACGCTGCTGCAAGCAGCCTGCGGATCCCAGAGCCCTTATTATTCCCAGCCGTTCCTCTCAGAGAAACTCTAATCCAGCCCAAATCCCACCGCAGTCTCCGGCTGATCCCGATCTCTCTGATGACATGAAGAGAAACGCCGGAGTCGATCGTGAGATCAGCACGCAGAAACAGAGCGTCCCGTCTGAGATTCCCTCGAGATCTGCACCTCCACCCTCATTTAAAACCAGCAGGCAGAAGCGGCGGATCAAATATTGAAGACCTGCTCTAAAGAAACCTCCTGCACTCCTCCTGCGTGTCCGTATTAAAGCGTTTGAAGCTGATCATGGCTGCTGTCGCTCAGAAGAAAGATCATGTATGAGAGGCTTTACTGGAGATGCCATCATCTCACACAACAGATCGATTCAAAACAAAACAGCACAAATAATCACACAGCACATCATCAACACAGAAGCACGGGCAGGTCGTCAGAACCGGAAGTTCTCGTCAGTCATGTCGATGGCCCAGGCCGACTTGTCCCTCTGGGTTTTGTTGTAGATCTTTTCAACGGGCACCTGATGCACATGGACCCGATCAATCAATCAATCAATCAATCAATCAATGCATCATCGTTTATGACAGTAAATGTGACGCTTTTTCCACCCATATGGTGCTGGTGTTTTGTTGGCTCAAGTCAAGTCGGATAGATCATATTAACGAGTTGAATGCGCATCAACAACACAAAGTGGTAATTATGAGTTTCTTGAGTTCAGAGAGAGAAAACATGTCAGAAGCATTGGATGCAGCGTCTGTACTGATGGTCATTTGTTAAAATTAATGAAATCTTGCGTATTTTTTTCTATTTACAATGAAACTAAGTTGCATGTGCAAAATATCATAGTATTATACAACCACGATTGATTCAATTCATAAAACCTTCAAAAAATGAATAAAAACACAATGAATGTGTGTGTGTGTATGTATGTGAGAGTGAGTGTGTGTGTGTGTGTGTGTGTGTG